CCAAACAGTGTTCCCAGGGAACACTAACAGTTACAGGCAAGCTAGAGGAAGAGGATGCAGTAATAGAATGCCAGAGGCCAACGGGTGTTCTGAAGAATAGGATGCGATATCAGCCAAAAGGAGAAGTGATTTCAAGAAGTAAGTGGATAGCAATGTACCGTGTAGCTGAAGCTTTTATGACGTTAGCATTGAAAAGTTCCCAGTGGATTTGGAAATTTGAATTTCATTGATCAATAGCGCAGTAACTTTTTAATAAAGTGGTGAAAGTAGAAATCAGATGATGGCACACTAAGGAGTTAATAGATGACCATACTGTGGAAAAAAGCAAGTGTTGACAGTTCTCTCAAATTCTGTGTAAGACTCTGAGGCCTTGATGAAAGAACAGAGAGTCTTTGGACAAAGGGCTGAGGACCGCAGCCTGATGCAGAAGTGGCTGAGAAAGGAATGGGTAGCTGGCTGATAGAAAGGCTGTGAAGAGGTGTGGAGAGCTTTTCTGAGACGAGAATCAAGAATGTCCTGTTGCCAACAATCTGCTCTTATCATGTTTGTTTTTCTGTTACTGGATTGTAGAACTGACCCAGGGCTGGCTGGAGCCTCATAGAAGTTATAGAAAAGGAGGGGCAAGTTGAGCTTTCTGGAGAGAGAGAAACTCAAGGCATTGACTTTGCAGTCCATGCTGAGGGACCTGAAAGAAGAAAGTGAAGGGATTTCAGAGTTGAAGCTGAGTCATGGGTATAATGCAGACAAGCTTTTGAGAGAGCTGTGAGAAGAGATGTTTGTGATCTCAGACTGTGGTTCTAGAAGTTAACATTTCAGAGGCTGAAAACGGAATTTTACTTGTCAACAGATTGTTATTTTTATTTATTTATTTATTTATATTATTTATTTATCTTTTTGAGACAGGGTCTCCCTATAGCCCCAGCTGGCCTGGAACTCACTATGTAGACCAGGCTGGCCTTGAACTCACAGAGATCCACCTGCCTCTGCCTCCTGAGTGCTAGGATTAAAAGCGTGTGCCACCAGGCCTGGTTGTTATTTCTTTTAACTTGTAGTGGCTTAAAAGGGCGTTTGTTTTCCTATTAGAATAAGAAGTCTGAAATGAAGCAGTGCTGATGCTGATACTGGGGTTGGCTAGGTTCAGTAGTAAAACCAGCTCCTTTCTGAGTCTTGGTATTTCCTTCTCAAATTACAAAAAGGGGAATAGGGGAAAAAGAAAAACCAGCCTCAGCTCCCTCCTTTCATCAGAAAAAAAGGAATAGTCTGTAAGGGACCCACAAAACTCTGCTTGCAGGATCACCAGACTGTGATACAGGACCACCTCTGTCTACAAACTCCAAGAACCAGACAGCACACATCCCGTATGCTAGAGTGAGGATGGGAGAAGAAAAAGGCCTGATGTTGTTTCATCAGAAAAAGTTGTATCTGTGGGAGAGCCCATAGTTCAGCTTCCTCATGCAGACCAAAGGGTTTAGTACAGAAAGCCCTAGTCCCGAGGGTATGAGGATGAGCTCAGAGTCTTAAAGATGCATGCTCATATGCTGTGGTCACTTTATAAATGATCTGTTAGCAACCACTCCTAGGAGTGGTTAGAACAACTGCTTTTGAGTGAACATCATAACCAAGTGATCAATTAGTAACATTTTAAAAGTTCAATGTACATCGGACTGTGCCCATATAAAGACTAGTCCCTGAGAGAAATATACAGTCATATGAACTCTGAAAGGGTATATGCAGTTGTGTGTGTGTACGCACATGTGTGTGTCCAGTAACCTCATTTCTTGACTATAAACAGAATCTATCAACATTGTCACTTGACATTTTAAGAGCCAGTTAATTGTTCTGTTTTGTCTTTGCCATGCTCAGCATTTCTTTGCTCAATTTATTCCTTCTTATTTAAGAAAGCTTCATAAATTTCAGAAACCCTCAGGAATTTACAAGCCAGTCTTTCAGTACAGCTCTATGCATAATTTGTCATGTTGCTTTAATGTAATGTTATATTTTTGTTATGCCTTACAGTCTAACAAAATGCATAGCATGCCACTACTCCAAACTGTTCTTACTATGGTCATTGCAAGTTTTACTTGGCAACTATAGTTGCCACTGGTGTACTCTTCTTGATTTTTTTTCTTTTGTTTTGTTTCTTTGTTTGTTTGTTTTATAGTTTGGCAACAGTCAATTTCCACTTGTTTGTGTTATTAAAAAAGGAATATTTTTAGCTTTTTAATGGGTTTTATCCAAAATGTCTTTGATAGCATTTGATCAATTGAATATCTTTGGACTTTAGACTCATAGTAGGATTTCAGAAGAGACTGATTTTTGTCTCTTCTCACTGATGTAGAGATAATTCTGTGCACCAGAGTTGGTATCACATAAGAGAGGTATTCAGGGCCTTAAAAGCCCTAAAGTGCTTGGAAATGTTATAATAATGTTACTTATAGTTGCTTTCATCTAGCCTGCCACATGAAACATATGAAAGCGGTGATCGTGACTTGCCATCAAACAACATGCATAATATTAACATTCAAGAGGAGATGCAATGTCGTACATCCACTCTCCAACAGATCGAGTTAGTGAACAGCTAGGATAATGCAGAGATAATTATAATTTTAAATCCACATCACGACATTCTCCTCCTTCTTAGAGGTCAGTTCCCTTGAACAACATTCACTTTTTTATGCTTATGCCATATTATTTTAATTTACTAGAATGTGGTTACACAGAAGAAAATTTAGTCTTAAAAGTTGCATGCCTGAATTTCCCGTCTGGCCCTTACTTGGACTTGACAGAGTCTAGGAAGAGAGACAGTAACAACCATAGACACTCTCTGGGCAGATGTTAACCCCTGCCCTATAAAGTGAGCCTGTCTCCTGAGTTAGTGATGCGTCGGCAGATGCTGTGGGCAGGACCCAAGTACAAAGAGCCCATGTCCTGTGGCAGAGAGAAGGATTTTGAGACAAAAAACAACAACAAAAAAATAAATAAACATATTGACAACTGGAAATTGAACTACAGCATAAGTGGAACTGTTTGTGGCTATAATCATTGAGATTTAATTTGAACAAATAATGTTTATGTTTCAGATTTATACGAATATTGAAAAATTTCATATGCTGAGATATAGATAGGTAGACGATAGATAGATAGATGATAGATAGATAGATAGATAGATAGATAGATAGATAGATAGATAGATAGATAGATAATCATGGCCTATAGAGTCCGATTTTTGTCCCCAAATGTTCTTCAGTGTGGATTCATCCACTGGACCCAGCAAGAGTCCCATCCCTGTAAGATACTGTCTTTCCCTCTCCCAGCAGCCCTCAATTGCCAAAAGTTCCTGAGGTTGGATTGGGATTTCTTACCCACTTCCCCATATCTGCTGGAATTTTGTCTGGTTTGAGCTTGCATAGGACTTGTGCATGCTGGGTGTTTTACCTATATTAACCCATTTACCATTATGGTATTGATACAGTTGTCGCTATTTTGAAAAAGAAACTGAGGCAGAAATAATTGAAGGAATTTGCTCTTGGTATGTAGTAGAGACAAGATGCAAATATAGTATTTGAGAACTAAGCAGTGCCAAATTATTGTTGGTGACCTCTAAAAAAACTGAGGCGTTCAACTATAACAGAACTCTAAAGTTAAGGGAAACTCCCATTTCTGCTGTTCAGTTGTTTCCTAAGGAACCTATTTGTTTTATTATTTTTTATAAATTATTTTGAAAGTTATAGAAAATAGCTCTATCAGTTTTCCAAAAATCCCTTTGGGGCCTCTTGTTGCTCAAAAGCTGTATGTGAATTAAAGAGGAATGCAGCCCACTACAGCTTCCCTCTGTCTCATCCCAGTCTCAGTGCAAGCTTCACAGCTCTACAACAACCAAGTGGTCCCTGCCTGCAGGTGCCTCTGTAATACATATTCTGAGGCTTGTGTTCCTAGGCTGATACAGAAGACTTAGACTGTTTCAGTCAATAAATCCTGAGAGTTGTAAAACAGGTCAATCTAGCCATCTGAAGAATGATTAAAGAATTGGGGACATTTAGCTTAGAAAAGGGAAGACCTTACAGAAGCCAAAAGAGATATATCTTTAATACTTACAGTTCTTTTTTTTTTTTTAAGTATGTCTGAGTGTTTTGAGAGCATGCATGTAAGTGCACCAGAGTTGTGCAGTCCCTGCAGAAGTCAGAACAGGGTATCAGATTCCCTGGAACTAGAATTGTGGATGGTTGTTAGCTGGCCTGTGGGTGCTGGGAACCAAACCCAGGTCCTCTGCAAGGGCAGCCAGTGCTCCTAATCACTGAGCCATCTCTCCAGCCCCAGTACTTACAGTTCTAACACATGAGAATGATTACAAAGTTAAGTAAAACTGACACCAATGAAACTCTAAGTTAATGAAGACAGATACAGGGTTTTTTCATAAGATTAGCTATTTCAGATGTGGAATCAGCTGCCTCAGAGATGCTATGTCCTGTCACAAGTATTGATGTTAGTGTGCAGCCAGAAGCTGAGCAAACTTGGAAAGTGTACGGGAGACACAAGCACAGACACATGGTCAAGCCACATAATGACTAAGGCTGCTTGTTTCTATCTCTCAATAGATTGATTTGAAACAGTTGACTATTGAGTCAAGAACACAAATAGAGCCAGAAAATGATTCAGTGGGTAAAAGCCCTTGCCACGCAAGTGTGATGACATCAGTTCAACCTTCGGAACCCATGGTAAAAGGAGAGAACTGACCCCCAAAAGTTGTCCTCTGACCTTTTCACACACTATGACACACATGCATGTGCACCTTGACTCACATTATATATACACACAATAATAATAAATAAAATGAAATAGATTTTTAAAAAGAATAGAAATAGCTGAACATGTCTTCTAATGCTGCCTCCTCTGTCATAAACAAAATTAGTAAGAACAGCAAAATGAACAAACATAAGCCTTCAAAAAAGCTGTAGATAATGAAATGATCGGTCTCTTTTTGTCTTTTCTCTTTCTTCCAGTGCTTTCTCCTGCTCAAGAGAGTCACGTGAACATGGACCTACCCCCCGTGTCCGAGCAGATCATGCAGACGCTGAGTGAACTTGCCAAGTCCTTCCAGGATATGGCTGACCGCTGCCTGCTGGTCTTGCATCTGGAAGTGAGGTATGACTGAACCAAGCACAGGACATCGTGGTGTCAGTGTTCTCTAATACATAAACCACTTGCTATTTCTGGGAGCAGATAGCACCACCATAAGTTTCTGTTCTTATGTTGATATTGTCTTTTTCTTACAGTGAGCATGCTGTTTAGCAGTATTCACTTTTTTTTTTTTTTCGGTCTTTTTTGAGACAGGGTCTTCCTGTAACCCCAGCTGACCTGGAACTCACTATGTAGACCAGGTTGGCCTCAAACTCACAGAGATCTGCCTGCTTCTGCCTCCCAAGTGCTGGGATTAAAGGCGTGCACCACCACGCCCAGCAGCAGTATTCACTTTTTAAAGAATTTGAATGTATGCTGCATTCTGAGCATGATTCAAAGTTCCTGTGTCCTGTGATGTCAGAACAACCTGGACTTGAATGTATACATCAACCAACTTGGTGATGTGAGGGTCAGACCTTTACAGAGCTTCAATTTCATCCTAAAAATGAACAGAGTAATTTAGAGCAATGTTATGAATGAAGTCATAAAGAATTTGTACCATCCATATTAAGTACTCAAAATGTGTTGATAATTTTACTAAAAGTCAGAAAGGAAGTTAGATGCAAGAATCATGATTCCCTTCTTCAGCAATCTTAAAACCCAAGTGAGGAGATTAAGGAAAATAATCCAAGAGAATAGTTTCAAAGATGCTGTGTTCCCTCCCCTGCAGCTGAAATACTCTGTAGCCATGGTAACCTCTTATTATACAGATGGAAATGAAAGGAAGACCTAGGAAGCCTTCAGTTGTCCATTCATTTACCAAAAAACACTAGCAAGAGTCTTCTTTGTGCCAGGCAATGTTAAAAACATTAGACAGCAATAAACAAAACATTCAAGATCCCTGCTCTTTGGGGACTACCTTTCAATGGATACAGGGAGTCTGTCAATGACTAGGCAAAAAAAAATAATAATTTCAGATAAGTATAACTAGAGCAATAAAAGCATGTAATGAGAAGCAAGTGATATGGTTCAGAGGGTTAAGGTGCTTGCCTCCAAGTATGACAACCTAATAATAAGATTCCCCAGAACTCACATCGTGGAAGAGAGGACTGACTTCAGTAAGTTGCCCTCTCACCTGCATGCACACATGCACTAATTAATTAAGTAATAAAAATTTTAAATAATAGTCTAATGAGATCAATCAGTGCTATTTAGTAGAAAGATAATGTGAACACAAATGCAAGCCACATACAGCATATAAATTTTTCTAATGCAGACTGAATATCCGTAATCCAAAAACTCAAACCTGAAACTGCTCTTCAGACTTGGCCATTTCAGTGCTCATCCAATAAATTCTGCACATGTATTCTGAAATCCAAAAAACTTTGACCCCAGATATTTTAGATAAGTAATACTCAAAACAGTAGTCACATTTGAAATATAGAGGGAAGTAGGTAAAATGAATAATAATGAACTTATTTAGACTGGTATGTTCACTATATTATTGCTTAACATAGTTAACATAAAAATGATTAATGAGTTACTTTTCATTTTCTACAGTAAGCCTTTGTAATCTTCATATTTTATACTTAAAGCACATTTCAGTGAGGACATTTCAAGTGCTTGATAACTACACATGGCCAATGAACTCTGGATAGTGCAGGGTGTAAAGGGTTAAGTGAGTTGTTTAGACAGAGGAAATGTGGCAGACAAGAGCCATGTGAACTAATACCTAGAGGAAGAAAGTCTCAGACAAGGAGCTACATTCACAGAGGTCCTGAGACACAGTCAGTCCTGGCAAGTTGGAGGCACAGAGAGAAGGCCAGTACAGTTGCAGCCAGATGAATGAGGCAGGTGAGGAGAATTGAAAGAGTAAGCTTAGAGACAGACTAGAGCCCGATCATGGGCAGTAGTGATGCCTGACACATTGGAGGTCTTAAAGCCAAGGAAGTAATTCAGATTTTGTTCTAGATGCATTAAAAAGTCATTGGAGGGCTGTATGTAGGGGAGGAATGTGAATTAATTGACATCTAACTGAGGTGGAACAGACTGAAGGAAGAGAAATGTCGAAGGCAGAGGTGAAGGCAAGGACTCAGCTTTCAAGATGTGCAGTCTGAGGTGCATATTCAGCACCGCAGTAACAGTGTCATCTAGATTGCTGGATACACATGTTGAAACCTTGGGATTTGAAAGTCACAGTATGGTAAACATTTTCTTCTGTATATACTGTGGAGCATGAGTCAAGTTGATCAAATAATTTTTGGGGTTTTTTTTCATTTGCACTCTCTATAACACCTACATTTCTGAAATATAAACAGGACTGTGGCTAATAGTTAAGACTTTGGAATATGTTTAGAGTTCACGTAGACCTCGGGTGGCCTTGGGGCATGTCACCATTGCTCCCTTCGCATGCAGCTCACTTCCTTCATTCCTCAGCCTCCTACAATGAGCCATCGTTCCATGGCTTACTAGCACCCTCTGGGTGAACAAAAGAAGTAGCCCCGAGGTCTGGAATCTGTTTTACTCACCATTATTTCTGAATTTATTTCTTACGTTAACTTGTCCAGAAATAAAGAGTGTTGCTATGTTTTCTGATTTGTTTTACGATAATTTTTAGATTTGTTTTCTATTTATTTTCAAGCTGATATGAAATAAGTCAGGCGTTTTCTATGAATAGATTAATGCAATAGACAGAGAAGAAAGAAAAAAAAAGCACCCAAGTAATATTCCTACACCTCTGTTTCCTGGGTTGCAAAGAAAACAGCAAATTAATTACTGTCACAAATCCTGGAATTTATGCTATTGATTGTGTGATCTCAGGACGTGCTCTACATTCAGAGTTACCTACTTGTGTGCAGCTAATTCCAAGTGGGATATTTTCAGCATGTTTGAATAAGACCTTTGAAATCCTTAACTTCTATCCTGCCCTTTTTATTTTTCATACTTCTTGGCAATACTGTTCTAATAATGCTGAACATGTTTTAATCGTGATCAACGCTATAAGAAAGCACATAGTGCTGTGACATCCGATTCCATACTTATTTCAGCATCAGTTTAAAAACAGAAAAGGGTCACTTCAGCCTGAATTTTAGTACCCTGGATGCAGAATTATTTTTCCTTTTCTTTGAAAGCACTAAACATCTTTATTTTTTCTAAATCAATTTGTGTCTGTATTTACCATATCAGTCACATATGAACATTCTGCTAGTTTTATGAACCATACTTTAAAAGAATAAGGACAAAATGGGGAAATGTTCATTAAAAAACAAACTGAATGTTGGAACCCTGTTACAAGAAGAAATGTGAAAAAGTATGAAGATGCTTGTGCCTGTGCCTGTCCTATCACATTATCAATAGGGGTGGAAGGAGGGTCATACAGTGATGATGCAAAGTGAACGAGACAGGTATCATGCTAATCATCATGCTATGGCGCATTCATGTTATGATAGATGCAACTGCCAAGTCCAGTGAGGACCCGGAGTGCAAGGCTGGAGACAGAATCACCCACTCTTCTAGGTGTGTCTTGTTTTTGTTATGAGTGACCCCAGAATCTGAGCCAGTCTGGATGCATGTGTGATTTCTTCTAAAGAATGAGCGGGCTTTAAACCAAACCCAGATAAAAAGTAGGTACTTGTCTCCCCAAACAAGATCTGTGCTCTTTAAAGCAAATGAATTGGTTTATAACTAGATTGTGTTTTCACATGGTAGTTCGCTTGCAAATCTACTGCATATAGCTATGAAGTACAGAGGATGTGAAACCACCACCATCCTTACTTCAATAATTAACTGATGCTTCTTTTGTCTCCATCCTGTTATAAGAGAATAATAACTGAGGCCCTGTTGTCTAGGCGCTGGAGTGATGAAGTGGTACTGCCTCTGACACTTTTAGCCAGGAAGCTACTATAGCAAGATAATACAGAAGCAAAGACAACCAGAAGCCCCATGGAAAGTACTAATGGGTTGGTTATGCTGGCAAAAGTCCATAACAACTTCAGATGCCAAACTTTGTCTTATTCCCCAAAATATCTTTATATCTATAGCCCATATTTTTCTTTAACATTGCTAAAGTTCAGAGCAAAAAAATGTTCTCAGATCCAGCAGGTTCTGTGTTGAAGAACCCATCCAAAAAGTATTTGACATTTTACCTGTGTCATTGCAGGGCACATAGGCAGATGACACCCCCAAGAGGTGAAAGGCATGGTGAGACCATTAAAGTTGTTGAGAGTTTTTTCATATCTGAACTTTAAAAAAAGGAAATTAAGTTGCCATTTGAGACCAAGATGCCAAAAGAATGTCACCTTTATCAGCTGATTTCCCTCACCATCAGGAGGGCTCTAAGTGGGTTCAACAGCAACTGCCTGTCACTGTTGGGCTTCTAAGTGTGCACTTTTTGAAAATCAACCACCCTGCTGTGCAATCAGCAGTGTTTGCAGGAAACCTTAATGCCAAAGTCAGGCGAAGGTCAGCAACAGCATACCAGAATCCAAAGAAAAATAAAACTTTATTTGAATTTGACATTCACTGGTGATAATTTTCTTTCTTTTATTATCTCTGATCATTTGGGAAGAAGACAGTACCTTAAGCAGTGGTTGTCTCCCCTCTCTGCCCTCAGCATTAGGATCTCATAAGCTTTCACCTCCAGCATGTCCGAATTTTCTACCCAGTCTTTACTTTGATTTCTCTCCATGATCTACCATCAGTCTATTCTTATATTGTGCCAAAGTGATCTTGCCAAAGTTAGTGTTTGATTATATCATTTTAACTCTTAAAATTATCTTGGGACTGGAGAGACGGCTCAGCATTAAGGGCATGTACTGCTATTCCAGAGGACCAGAGTTCAGTTCCCAGCACTCAAATAGGGTAGCCAACAACTGCCTAGAACTCTAGCTCAAGGGAATCTCATGCCCTCTCTGGCTCCTGTTTGCACTACAGTCATGTGCACATACCCTCACACAGACACAGACACAGACACAGACACACACACATACACACACACACACACGCACACACTATTTTTAGAATTTTATTTATTTATTGGTCTGAGACAAGGTCTCCCTACAGCCCCAATTGGCCTGAAATTCACTATGTAGATCAGGCTGGCCTTGAACTGACAGAGATCCTCTTGCCTCTGCCTCCCAAGTGCTGTGACTAAGGGTGTATGCCACCATGGCCAGCAATTTTTAAAAATAAATCTTTAAAATTCTCCTAAGTGTCCCTAAGTTTTCTGGCATGAAGTCCACATAAGTTGACCTCACACCTGTCATGTGATCTGTATGGAGCAGACAGGAACCTCTCGCCATTGCTCAGAGCCATCCTGCATGTTCAGTTTCATGTCTTTCAATATGGTCTTCCTGTTGTCTATGATTATGCTTTCTGTGACTTCCTTAAATATACTTGAGTACAGATGCTTTCATTTCAACTAAGTGCTACTTCTTTATGCCTGGTAGTAATTCGTTGTCCTGTCATGAATCCCATTCCAGGGTTAGTCAATTTTCAATATATCAGAAAGATCATATTTAAGGATGGGAACACTATGACCAGTGCCTTTAGTGACATCTTGATCAAAATTGTTCCCTTTGACAATTAGGTCAGGAATGTCAGCTTGAGTTTTTATTGGTGAAATTACACATTAATTAGCAGTTATTAGGATGAGAACCTAATAGTGAAAATGAACCATAGTCAAGGTATTTGTGTGTTCTCCTATAACCAGATTCTAAGAATAATGCTCAGGGCTGCCGAGATGGATCAATGGGTAAAAGTGCTTGCTGTACCACCATGAGGAACTGAGTTTGAATCCCCAGTACCCATATAAGAAAAAAAAGCCAGGCATATTTGCCTGCCTGTAAACCCAATATTGGGGTGAGGGGGAGCAGAGACAGGCAGGTACCAGGAGCTCACGGCCAACCAGCCAAGCCAAAGCTGTTCAGTGAGAGACCCCATCTCAAGACAATAAGGTGGAAAACAATAGAGGAAATTACCCAACATCCCCCCGCTGGCCACTAGTGGACATGCACAGGCATAGACATATCTGCATAGTCATATGTGTGTTATATACACACACACATGCATACACATATACACACACACGACAAAAAGATAAAATTTTTAAATAGAATATCACAGTCCTGTGCAGAATATCTCAAAATAGATCATAGAGGTCAGATGTGTAGCTCAGTGGTAGAACATGTGCATAGCATGCTCAAGGCTCTAGGTTTGACTAGTACACATACACTCACACACAGAGACACACACACAATAAATAAGCATATTTTAAAGTACTTTAAGAATCAATTATAAGTTTCTGTATGCCAGTTGTATAGCCTCTAAAAAAACCTCAAAAAGATCTAGAAAACATAAGAGAAAATGTTGTAACATAGTTTGGGCAAAGACTTCTTAAATATGATATAAAAAACACCATCCAAGGAACCAAAAAATGTTGACTTTTATCACGTTTAAAAATCATTCTTTGAAAAAGGCATTGTGAAGATGAAAAGATAAGCCAAAGACTGGGAGAAAATTATGTCTGACATAAAACTTGTATCTGGAACATATAAAGAACACTCAAAACTTAGTAAGAAAACAACTAGCCCAATTTTTAAAAATTGGGCAAATGATATAAACAGACACAGCACTGAAAATTATGAAAAATAAGTACACGTGGGGCTGAAGGGATGGCTCAGTAGTTAAGACTTGCTATTCCAGAGGACCGGAGTTCAATTCCCAGCCACCTCATCATGTGACTCACAACCACCTGTAACTCCAGCTCCTGGAGGCTAATGCCTCTGGCTTCTTTGGGCACTTGCACTCACATGCTCGTATCCACACACAGACAACACATACACATAATTAAAAATAAATAAATAAATCTTTTAAAGAATAAGTGTATGAAAAAGTTTCAGTATCATTACTCATTAGGAAAATTTAAATTAAACCCACTGAGATACTAAAATGCATCTAACTAAAAAAAAAAGTTATTTTTAACTGGCACAGAGTGCTGGTGAGGATGCAGAGCACCTGAAATATGTGTGTGTTGCTGGTAGGAGAGCAGACTGGTACACAGTAAGACAGTAGCTTGTTTCATCCAAAATTGAAGATACCCTTTGCATCTGTTTTAGCAAATTCCAATTGTAGGCAATTACTCTAGAGAAATTAAGATTTATATTTGCATAAAAGCCAAAAGCAACTCAAGGGAGAAAAAGATTTATTTCAGCTCATAGTTGAAAGGATATAGTCTAGCATGGCTGGGAAGGGCAGTAGCAAGAGTACAAGGTGACTGACCCCACATGCATGTGCAGTCAGGAAGGAGAGAGCTGAAGAGTGGTGCCCAGTTGGCTTCCTTTTTTTCTCTTTTTGTCTAGTCTAGAACTCCACTACATGGAATGGTACCACCCACATTCTGTGTGAGTCTTCCTCTTCAGCTAAACTAAGTTCTTTGGAAATATCCTCAAAGGCACACTCAGAGGTGTGTCTCCTCGGTAATTCCAAATCCGTCAAGTTGACAATGGAGATTAGCCAACACAGGAGCTACTCAGAAGGCTACATTCTGTGTGGTGCTGTTTATATGGCATTCTGAAGAATCAAAAATGTAGGGTTACCAAGGGTTTGAGGCATGAATGGGGGTTGACTACAGAAGACACACGGGACTTTAGGAAGTGACAGTTGTGTTCCATAATCTGATTATTATTATTGTGGTGATTAGGAACTGTAGACATTTGTCAAAGTCCATAGAACTGTTCACTAAAAGGGGAGAATTGTAATTTAGTGTATAAAATCTCATTTTTGGAAGAAGAAGGTGGGAGACAGCAAAAACAGCGATGATGATATAAGCTAGGGAGATGACGCAGTCAGTAAAGTACCTGCCACACAGGCATAAAGACCCAAATTCAGATCCCCCGCACCCTCATAAAAGCTGAGCATGCTGGCATACTTGGGGAGCAGGAACAGTGATAGGCAGAGCCTTGTAGCTCATTGACCAGACAGCCTGTCTAGATTGTTGAGCTCCAAGTTCCCTGAGAGATCCTGTCCTCAGAGGCAGGTGGATCTCTGTGAGTTCAAGGCCACCTTTATCTACAAAGGGAGTTCCAGGCCAGCTGGGGCTACAGGGAGACTATCTCAAAAAGATCAAAAAAAAGAGAAAGAAAATCAAAATATAAGGAGAAAAGCAATCAAGAAAGACACCCAATATCAACCTCCACACATACACACATGCACACACTACACGAAAGAATTAATGTAGGCAAAGCATATGGTTATATCATTAGGGCCAATGCCCAAGTCTTTTGTAGCCATTTCTTTAGGAACATTTCCTATTATCTGATGACAACTCTGGGTAGAAGAAGCTCAGCTCTGAACAAACCTTATGTCTGCCTCCAGAGGAACTTTCTATGTAAAAGAAGCCAGAGTTAGGTATTCTTTGAGCTCACACAACAGTCTGAACTGTACCTGCCAGTGTCTGGTGTTGGTTTGGGAGTTTTACTCTGTTTTCTCTTTGTTTTTCCAAAATAAGTACCTGTATGTGTGGCAGATTTTGGACTGTGACTTGTTTCATCATAAATAGGTGGTGGCATTACAGCCAAACCTAGCCCGCCTCAGACATCTTTGTCAGTTGCCAATATGAATCACAAAGAACCTAAGAATTATTTATGACCACCCGGACTCAAACCATTTCAACACAGAAATGCCTTCCTTCTGTAAGCTCACTCACACACATTCTGAGACTCAAGGATCTCCCACTGCCACAAACCTTTCCTGATACCTCATGGCCAATTTCCATGGCCCTGTGTAGATGGACTTCATGTTGCTATCTTCTTTTGGGTCATTCTTGTTTTTGGTCTGCTCCATTAGGCTGTGGAGTCATTAATGCTATAAACTGTCTTATATTTCTGAATCCTAGCACAGTTTACAGCCATTTTATATATGTTCAATAAGTAATTTATCCAAGTAATAAAGTAGCAATGATTAGTACTAGTGCTGGTTGTCAACACTTTCTGAGTACTCTTTATGCCAGGCTCTATGCTTTATATGGGTCCCATGTGGCAGAAATTATTATTGACCCCATTTCAGAGATAGGGAAACAGGCATAGAAAGATTCCAGTATTTTGACTTAAGTTACACAGCTAATATATGTCAGAACTGGGGAAAAAAAGCAGTGGTCTCCCACCATAGCACAGCATTGAAGGTGTGAACTCAGCCTCTCCATATGTTGAAAGACATCCTGCTTGCCATGCTGTGCATACAGTCTTGGCACTGGAAGAACTTCAGAACTCAGCTATTTCTTACCAAGAGTGTATATGTTAAAGAAGCAAACTTCATCGAAGCCTGCTTGCTCCAGGTCACTCAGTTGTATCATAACCGAGCTGGCATTTTGGTTGAAAAGGACTGACGGGAGGTGTATGCAAACGTTTAGGCCACTGCTGCTTCAGATATATTGCTGTTCCTCTTCAAGACCCTTGAAGGGTGGGAAGGCTGAGTTTCGATTGCTCTCCCCCTCTCTCTTCTGCAGAGTTCACTGTTTCCACTACCTCATCCCCCTGGCAAAGGAGGGCAACTATGCCATTGTTGCCAATGTGGAAAGTATGGATTATGATCCTCTGGTGGTCAAGCTCAACAAAGACATCAGTGCCATGGAAGAGGCCATGAGTGCCAGCCTTCAGCAGCACAAGTTCCAGTACATCTTTGAAGGTCAGAGCCCGCCTCTGTCTCTGGGAGCTTGGGAGGAAGGATGGGTGAAGGTTTTCCTGTGTTTCTGTATTATAGCAGTTTCCCAGTTTGTTTGGATTAAAACTGCCATAACCTCACCTCTCTGTGTATGAGTAGGCAGATAATGTGACTGCCACCTGCTCCTGGCTGATAGTGAGATTTCATCCAAGATAATGCAGATGTCTCCCCTCCACTTACCTTGACATGCATGCTTCTCATGAGATGTGCAGATGTGCAGTGTGGACTACTGGTTAACTTGAGAGGAACTCATTTTTTAAAAGGAAGGGAGGGAGGAAGGAAGGGAGGGAGGGAGGGAAGGAGGGAGGGAAGGTCATATAGATAGACAATGAGGCGAGAGCTCTGATTGATAGATCTTCCCTTGACTAACCTAAAAACTAGAAGGGAAAGTTTCTGTCACATCCGAAAAGAACAGACTCTTACGATCAGCAATGACTTTTAGGAAGACTGCTTCCATCAGGAGGCCTGTGAGAGATATTTGCTTTCAAATTTTAAAAAATATAGTTCCAGCCAAATAATTTTTTATGCTGAATTCTACCCATAAGCCCCTATCTCTATAATAAAGTACCTGAGATAATTAAGTTATAAAGAGAAAAGTTTAAACAAGAGTGATGGCTCAGCTGTTAAGAGCACTAGCTGCTCTTCCAAAGGACAGTTAAGGTGCATTATCCAAAGACTGTCACACATGCAAGATGATAATGTATCAATGCATGACCAATGCTTGCTTTATGAGAAAGTTGTATTACAGTGACTTTGCAACTCTTCACCCCAAATCCTGTTTTACCACTAAGTTTTTTTAAATTGTATTTATTATTTTTATTTTATGTGTATGCAAGTATTGCCTGCGTGTACGTAAGTGCACCTGTGTCGTGCAATGCCTGCGGAGGTCAGAAGAAGCTGTCGGATCCCCTGGAGTTACAGACAGTTGTTAGCTGCCATGTGGGTGCTGGGATTTGAACCTGGGTCTTCTTCAAGTACAATCAGTGTTCTTAACCTCTGAGCCATCTCTCCAGCCCCTACCACTAAGTTTTTAAAATAAAGTCATGAAGATGGAAATATGTTGTGAAGGAGGGTATACCTAAAAATGCCAGTATTAAAACATGAGCTGTTGGTTAGCCCAGTCACTATGAACTGGGACACCTGGAGAATCTTCTGCAGCTTGAGATCATAGCATCCATCTGAGCCTGAGCAGCCTGTCACTCTCCTCTTACCACACAAGAGCTTTCTCTTTGTTCCTGATCGTGGCTCTTCCAGCACCTCAGCATTCATATTATGCATGTGCTTGAATTTATTTCTTAATGTTATTGTAAGTTATCAATATGTTTATACCCTACAAATGAGGCACCCTGGCTTCACCGACATGTTCAGCACACTGTGTGTGTGTGTGTGTGTGTGTGTGTGTGTGTGTGTGTGTGTGTGTGTAACATAAGAACAGAACTCTTCTGGAAAGATTTTTCTAGCTTAAACGGGGGACCCATGGTGTATTTCTTTTTGTTTGAGCACAAATCTCTTTCTTTGCTCTGTTTTTTATTTTGTGTTTATGAGTATATTGCCTGCATGTATGTAAGTGCACCCATGCTGTGCAATGCCCACAGAGGTCAGAAGAGGGTGTTGAATTCCCCTGCAGCTAGAGTTACAGATGGTTTGTTAGCTGCCATGGGAGTGCTGGGAATTAAACCTGGGTCCTCTACAAGAACAGCCAGTGCTCTTCACCAGTGAGCCATCTCTCCAGCCCCTCTTTCTTTACTTTAAATAGTAGCATAGGCAAGTTTGAGGTCTTGAATTATGAGTGACGGTAGCTAATCTGGGAAAGAATGCCTCTTCCTCAGCCTTTTCTACTTTCATCTCAGCTAAAAGGAAACTGATTTTGAAGACAGAGGAAGCCATTGAACCTGAGATGTGCCTACTCTGATCTGAGTCATAGTTGCTGGGAAAGAACTCAGACTCTATGAAAGGAAGACAACAAAACAGACTACCTGTGACTGGTCAGAGTGGCTCTAGAGTTCTGAGAAAAATGTCCTGCTAGAGCCAACTATGCAAAAACAGGAAAATCTGAAGAAATCTTAAAAATTAAATCTGACTTTTAAAAGTAGTCACCTATATGTACTTCATGTTGTTTTGAGCCATCATTCCTCAGCCCTGTCACATGAGCTGCCCTAAAGGAGTCTTATTGGTTCAGTAATGACCTTTCTGCCCTTTGCCAGATTTCATGGATTATAAAATAATCCTTTAGGGCTGGAGATATGACCCTGTTGGTAGAGTATTTGGCCTAGCACTCACCAGAAGTCCTAGGTTCAGTCCCTAGTACCATATAATCCCACTAGGCATGGTAACACATGCCTGTCACCCCAGCACTTTGGAGGTGAAGGCAGGAGGATCAAAAGATTAAGGTCATCCTTGGCTACATAAAGAATTTGAGGCCAGCCTAGAATATATAAACCCTGTCTCAAAAAACATAAAAGCCAAACTAGCAAAAAAGGAGAGTCCTTAATATGTAAGAACAAACAACTTACAGAACCCCAGAAATAGCCATAGATGTCTCCTGCAATTCACCAGTGAACTCATAATCTGCTTTTCCTTCTCACTTTGTTTATGATTATGTTCTCTCCCCATTGTCAGTGCTGAAGTCTATTAGCATTATTGCCAGGAGCCTGTATTTTATTGACTGATTTTTACTTAGCAATGTTGAAGTTTAAATGTTAGCATATTGTTAATGCTCAATTTAGAACTGATTCATTTTTACATATGTAGGTTCCCAAATGTATACTTCTGTCTGTTTTGTGGGTAAGAGGAGAGGACCAAACAGATCACTGTGTATACCTGTGTTCTTTTCTGCTTCCAAGATAGCTGCATATGCAGATAGGTGCTCCTTTGCACGCTCATCCCTTGAAACACCTTGACAGATTCTTGAAAGTGCTTATGCGTGGTGTCCTCAGATGAATACGGCAGTGTCAGACTTGTGAATATACCAAGTTTGGCTGACCTCACAAAGGTTCCCATTTGCAATTACTAAAACAATGTAGAAATATCCTGAAATTATTGTTAAGATTAGATGTTGCATCTGGTAGACAGTTTTCTTGATCATTTAATCTGTGGAGGATGGAAAAGAGCAGTCCTGCCACCAGGCATGGTTGGGCATGCCTGTAATCCCAGGAGGCAGAGGCAGAGGCAGGCAGATCTCTGTGAGATCAAGGCCAGCCTGGTCTACAGGTCTACATAGCAAGTTCTAGGTCAGCTAGGGCTATAAGGAGACAAAAAAAAAGAGCAATCCTATGTACAAATTTTAACTGGATACCGCTAACCTATCTCTCTTCTCTCTTCACACCCTGTGCTGACCTCTCAGGCCTGGGACACCTCATCTCCTGTATCCTCATTAATGGTGCCCAGTACTTCAGGCGCATCAGTGAGTCTGGCATCAAGAAAATGTGTAGAAACATTTTTGTTCTTCAGCAGAATTTGACCAACATCACCATGTCACGGGAGGCAGACCTGGACTTTGCAAGGTACAAAGGAACATGCTCAGTTTATTTTCTCCCTTCCTTCTTTCTTTCCTTCCTTCCTTCCTTCCTTCCTCCCTCCCTCCCTCCCTCCCTCCCTTTCTTTTTATCATTTTTTAAATAGCTTATTTATTTTTATGTGTATGAGTGTATTGCCTGCATGTATGTAAATGTACCTGTGTCATGCTATGCCCATGGAGGTCAGAAGAGAGCATAGGATTCCCCTGGAACTGAATTTGCATATGGATGTTAGCCACCATGTGGGTGCTGGGATCAAACCTGGGTCCTCTGCAAGAGCAGCCAGTGAGTGCTCTTAACCACTGAGCCATCTCTCCAACCCCTGGTTATTTATTTTTAGACAGGGTCTTACTATATAGCCCTGGCTGGCCTTGAACTCACTATGTAGACCTGGATGGCCTCAAACGTACAGAGATCCACCTGCCTCTGCCTCCAGAGTGCTGACATTAAAGTTGTATGCTATCTTACCCAGCTAGGCTGTTGTTTATACCAAAGCCCAATGACTGTACTAAGATATTCTCTTAAATGGATTCCTGGTACTTGAAAAACTTATTTTAAAAAAAAAGAAAGAAAAGTGGCTAAGGAAATGATTCAGCAGTTAAAGCACTTGTAGTACAAGCAAAAGGATCGAGTTCAGATCCCTAAAATACATGTAGATGCCAGGTAGGTGTGGTGGCTCACCTAGAATTCCAGACTTGGAATGCAGAGTCGAGATCCCCAGAGTAGGTTGCTAGGCAGACTAGCTCTGTGTTTGACTAAGAGACCTTGCTTCCCTGAATAAAGTGGAAGAATGACTGAGGAAAATTCCCTGGTACCATCCTCGGGCCTCTGCATACATTTGCATATCCATGGGGATGCATACACATGTGCCTGGTACCATCCTCGGGCCTCTGCATACATTTGCATATCCATGGGGATGCATACACATGTACACACACACACACACACACACACACACACACACACACATACACATGAAAACAGAAAGGAAGGAAGGGAGGGAGGAAGGGAGGGAAGGAGGAAAAAAGAAAGAACTTAGTTCTTAGGTGATAGAGAAGGTAATTGTACAAAACTTTATTCAGAGCTTAACATTCCTCTGAAGAGTGGTTTTTTCTCACTGTCTAACCTAAGTCCTTTTCTTAAAAATATTTCCATCTATCTATTTTGTGGTGGGAGGTCAGGATAGGGGAGCATGCGACAACTAAAGTCAGAGGGTGCTTGTGGTTCTTTCCTTCCACCATGTGATTTCTTGGATTCAACAGAGGTTGTCAGTCTTGGTGGCAAGTTGTTTTTATCTGCTGGGCTATCTCACTGGCCTGAACTCAAGGTCTTCATACTACAAAGCTTCAGTGGCTCTTTTTCAAGTAAAAACAGAACATGTGCTCATTGCATGAGACATGTATTAAACAAGGAAATGCATAAGCACTACATGTGAGCCTTTGGCCTAGGGTGGCAATAACCTGATATTCCGTTTCCTAGCGTTTAGTACATATGCTGTATGTATAGGACTTCCCACTCAGACATGCATATGATTTCTCTTTTTATAAAATTTAAACTATTGATGTAATTTAAATTTTATTCTGTTGTGCTTTCCCATATCAATAATATTCTTTGAAAACATGATTTTTCAAATTTTCATCAATACTACTTGAAGATGTTACTTTCAATGAATGGACAAATATTCCATGAACCATCATTTATTTTTAGTGGTTTTTTTTTTTTTTTTTTGAGGCTTGCCATTTTTGCATTTTTTTTTTCTCTCATGGCAAACAGCAAGTGTTGGGCTTACCTTTACATGCACCCGTTCTGACACCACCTCTATCTGACCCAGTTAGAACTTGCCTAGTCTTGTTTCCACTGGAAGAAAAGTTGTTACTCGAATCTACGCTTTTTCTTCTCTCAGTTTGCTGATCCTAATTCCTAATGTTTTCTTTTAAGACATTTCTTCAAACGTGACAGTTAATTTTATTTTCTCTTCATTTGGTTTCAATATTCTGTATTAAAGCAGTCAGATGCTTGGTGCTTTAATCAAAGTGCAAACTGTTTTGGAGACTGCGGATGACAGTTTGGTAGCAAACCCCACACGCACTTTGTTATTTATAGTTACATGAATTGTTCCATAAACTTATTTTCCAAATGCCTCTTTAGCTAGGAAGGTGTTTTTTTTTAATAGCCTAAAATGTTCCTATTTGTTATTTCTGTGTCTTCTCCTTTGACTTTTAGATTCCTCTAGAAGTTGAGGGAAAATTGAAAGAATTTTTTGAAGTATTTAAAGGAATAATAAAATAGTATGTGACTTTGACCATTTTAAAGACATTTATGCTGGATCTTTGTTTTGAAAATGGTGCATATGCATTCCTGTCTAACCTTTCTTCTCTGATCTGTTTGTAGTGTTGCTACCCTGCCCTTCTCACCTCTCCTACAGTTTCCCTCCTGCTTGCAGGAAAGAGTGTGTGTGTGTGTGTGTGTGTGTGTGTGTGTGTGTGTTCATTAAATTCCCTGTTTTAGGATAAATTTGGTGGAAAGCCTTCCTTGTTCAGATTAGAGAAACCAGGTGTGACTGAATGCTGCATTTATTTGGCTGCTCTTAGGGGAAATGATCTCATTATTGAATTAGTCTATTCATAATAACATTGACAAGGGGAAGTTAAGAACATGGAGGCCTGAGGGACACAGAGAGCCATTACTAATTCTCTGAGGAATATGATCCCTAAATTCAATCATCCTTTTTTAAATGATTTTTTTTATTTAGCTGAAATAAGTAAATTAACACAGTTCTTGGCAGACAGTATGGGGCTCAAATACATACTGAAAGTAACAGCATCTGAATCATGAAATGCTGACAGGGCAGTACTGAGATTGGCATCAATGGGCCATGTTCCAGTGAAGGGTTTCCGCAGGACATAATTGAATGGCAACCTAGTCTTACCTTTCACAGTTGGATTTTTTTTATTATGTCCAAGGAGTGGGTAAAAGGTGACCTGGGAGAGGTATTTCTAGCATTACTCCTCATTCTTCAATGTATTATGAGGCTGGCATGAACATATAGCACTGGAGGATTGTGATCTCTGGATCCTGGTTCAAAGACCATTTCTCTGAACTAAATGGTAAACTCCAAACTATTTCCCCAGTGCTTGGACCAGAATAAGTGATCACTAGATCTGTTGAATAAGTGAACAGATCAAATCAAGGCTTTGCTTGGATGGTAATGAAGAGCTTAGGCAGTGACAACTTATGTTATCTATAATGTCCTGAGAGTTTTAATCAGTATATATGGTCAGTTTTCTATAGGTTCATAAAAAACAAAGTATCTCTCATATCTTTTTGAAGAAGGCATTACCAAAAGTAGTAATATAGCCCCACCACCCATAGTTTCTTCCTCCTCTTCTCTTGTCCTCATAGGGACATGTTTTATAACCTTATTTTTCCCTCCTTTTGGGGAGTAGGGATCAGTTTTCTGAAATGGGCTCCATCAATTCTACCAAACTTGAAGCCGTATAAAATAAATATAACAGCAATACCAAAATAGCCAGAAATAATAGACTGCAGCAGTGTGCCTCAGCATTCCTTGAGCAGTGTCTAATCAAGCATAGACAGCATCTGTACTTCCTGCAAATCTCAATAGGAATGTTATCTTCTCACACAGTAATTAATCACTAGTCGCCATGTGTCAGAAAACTTATTTAACAAGAAGTTGCATAGTGCATCTAGATTCTTACTGCCACAGCCTTCCTGGCCAGCCAAAAATACAGCGCCTTTCAATGCTAAAGAAAACTGAGGGATGTGGGATGACTGTACTTAGGTTGGTGTTTCTACCCATGGCATTGCTGTCTATCTCTGCACACACCTGCACTGTAGTCTCTAGTAGGAGGATAAGTTAGATGAGCAAAGGATCAAGATGGCCTGTACAGTACCAGAGTTATTGACAGCCCATCCTCCATGGCAATGGTCACTTAAGTTCTGCTATAGTTTTGATGTTTTTGACCCCACTATTAATTTTCAGACTCAAAAAGATCATTTATCCAGGAAAACCATAGTAGATTAACTAGAAAGTAAAAGGGTGTTTAAGTGGCTTTTTAGTTCCTTGTATCATCTAAGCTTGAGCTGCTGTTGCATTTCCAAAAATAATTCACCAAAACTACCTTGGAGTCCCTGTGGTAGGAATATAAAAGATTGCAGCAAGGTGCATAGCGGGGTATGTGCTAGGATGCCTAACAGGGTATGTAATGGGGCATACATGGCAATCTTTGTAGAGTAGGTAGAGCCAGTCTTTGAAAAGAGCACCCCAGAGTTTTCTTCCCAGCTCCCCTTCTCTTCCTCAGTTCTTCCTCTGAATCTGTCTTTCCCTATCACAGCTGCCTTTCCTTGACCTTACTGCTTTGCTTCCTGTTCTTCTCATTGAGTTTGTCACTCCTTGATTTTCACCCTCATTTTGTATTTCTTTAGACACGTATCTTTATTTGAATTTGAGAAGGATAGGGAAATGAAAGCTAAGATTCAGGAATTAGCAAGGAAACAAATCCTAACACCTCTATTAAAACAGAATATCTCTTTATCCGATTATTCCTTTATTCAATGAAGGAATATTTACTGGGGGTGCATCCTCTCCTGGTCCTGCCCTCAGGAAACTTGCATTATTGTGAGTTGTAAGATATAAGCTAATAAATAGGTAAAGTGACAGATGATGATACATGCTATGGTGAAAAACTAAGCTTAGGAAGGAAAATAGAGAGTGCCAGGGTATAATGAAGCTAATCTGAAATTTCAGTATTCCTGGGAGTCCTTAATGAAATAACACTTCAGAAAGAAACGCCTGGAGAAAGTGTGGGAACAAGCCACCAGTAAGTATATCTAGGGAAAGACCATACCAGGAAAGACAGTCTGTGGTTTGAAAACTCAGAGGAGTGTGCTTGACAGTAGAAAGCAGTAGATAAGTGAGTGTAGATAGAGCAAGCAAGAGGAGATAAGGTCAGGACTTACTCCGAGGA